TCCCTGTGTGAGCTTATTACTTCCCATCTACTCGTCTACGTACATAGTTGTATATTTAAGAGACTAAATCAAACATCCATCCATCCATCTGCAATCGGCTCATCCCTGCACACGGGGTCGCGGGGGGCTGGAGTCCATCCCAGCCCAACTTTGGGCGAGAGACGGGGGACATCCCTGGACCGGTCGCCAGCCAATCGCAGGGCTACACAGAGACACACACCTAGAGGCAAGTTAGTCCCCACCCAACCTGATCCCCAGAGCATCGAACATCACACATCGCTCACACGTTTACTCTCGTTTCTTAAAGTGAAAAACTGTTTTTATCAGATTCGTCTTATTTACTGACACATTTTTTCGGAAACATAAGAAACAAGATTTACATTTCACAACATCATCATCATCACGTCTTCATCGTGTGAAATGTTGTTAGCGAGTCATTAAATAACTGAAGCATTTAGACAAAGATGCCTGAGATTCCTGTATGTCGGCACATGTGGATTACAAAGAAATAAACGTTCTGAGATCTTAACTTTTTTTCATTTTGTTGTAATATATATATATATATATATATATATATATATATATATGTGGATTACAAAGAAATAAACGTTCTGAGATCTTAACTTTTTTTCATTTTGTTGTAATATATATATATATATATATATATATATATATATATTTTGTGTATTTCTTTCTGCAAACTGGAATATAAATGTACTCTGAGCCTTTTGGTTTTCTGTGGTTCCTTCACAGGTGAGGTCTTCCTGTAGTTGCATCCTCACCCTTGAGGCAAATAAACACCTCGTACACGAGGTCACATCGTCACGTCAAGCTCGCTCATTAGCTTGAATGCTAAACATAATGATATGTTTCCTTAGATCAATGAATGAAATAAAGCTTTAACAACATGAAGTACCAAACTTCTCAGCTTGCCGGATGTTTAGTGCTATGAAGGTTTCACCGGGGGGAAATTCTTTGCAAGGTTAGCTGCTAGCCGACTCAATGCTAACAATGCTAACAACGCAAGCTAATGGCTTAACGTCACATGGCGAGAGGAAATATCTGCTATGTTAGCTAAAACCAGCATGTTAGCGTTTTCAGAATGCTGCTAACGATAGCGGCGTGGTCGGTGGCTATTCCGCCAGCGTCATGACTCATTTGTTGTGGAAAACATGTGGAAACACCTGGATCTGAATATACAAAAATACATTTAGAATATCACTTCAGACAATTATTGCAAGTAGTATCACATTTGTTTGGTTGAATTAATGGTAAATATTTGACATATTTTAAATGTATTTATACAAAACATCCTGGTCCCACTGAAGGACAATGAGACAGACGGACGGAGTGAAGACAAAGGGTTTGATGAAGCTGGAGCACAAGAGCAAGTGTGAAGGAAACAAGACACGGGGTCAGTAGACAAACGCACACAAGGGAAAGATGGAGGAGGGAAGGAATGAGGAGAGAGGGCACAAAGGAAAGGAGACAGAAGAGAAACGCAAACTATTTTAAGAAGAATAAAGGACACGCAAGGGAACAGCAGGCAAAGGAGGGAAGGACACCTGGACCGAGGACTCGGTCCAGGTGCTTTTATGATGTCGGCAGTTCAGTCTCAAAAGACCCACAAAATCCTCCTCTCGGTTCGGAGGAAGAAAAGTCTCTGAGGTATTTTGGCGTTTTTGAGGTCATCTGTGGTTTGCTTACTTCACGTCTTTCTTCGTCTACTCCTCTTCTCTCCCTCTCTCCACGCTTCGCTGGGCGTTCAACCACCGTCAGACAGCCAGCGAGTCGACTTCCTCACGAGGAAGCAGCAGCTCCAAAGACATTCAGTGTGTGACAGACACACACGCACGCACAAACACAAGCACGCACACGTGTCCTGAAACTGCTTTACGAGGCAATGAACCGACGCCTCGGTTTTGGTCACGGTTTAAATAAAAAAAAAAGAGAATAAGACACTGCTGACCTTTGAACTCTACAGACTTTTTAACCTTTGCATCGATCTGTCCGCTGGACGAGGCAGAGCCCATTATTCTTATTGTGAATAAATAAACATTTCCTTGATTATTAAATCAATAGAAGATTTGGGTATCTGAGGTCAAAGGTCACAGCTCACAGACAATCATCACACACACACACACACACACACACACACACACACTGACCTGCATGCATAAGCGGCCCATGCATCATGAGGTCTTGCACCTTTTCTTATGGTAACACATATTCCGGACAGCCAATAGGCATTGGATACCCTCAGATAAGCCCCTCCCACTTGGCGCTGGCCCCGGCCCCTGGCATGGCGTCGCGTTAAGTCCGACCCCCGCGGATCTGGTTACCTGAGACGATTT